TCACACATGCTGGATGCAGCTGAAAATATACTCCTTTCTGTTCTAAGATTCGTTTCCTTCTGATGAATTCAGTTCAGAGTAGCATCTTCTTCCTACATTAGCATCTCATTTGTGTGACTGCTGCAATTTTAGCGTTCCTAAACCTAATTATTTGCATTTTTGTGCAGTTTCTTCGGGGACACCTTTGTTTCAATTCAGCTAAATTTTTGGCTACTTTGGTAAAAACCTCGCATCCCTTCCAGACAAACTTCGCACCATTCTCATTATTTTCAGTTTCCTCTGATTAAATTTTGCTTGTAACCCTTGACCCTGTTTCCAGAATTTCTCTTCCCACACCGATAAGCGTTATCTCTGCTCCCTTCTTTATCTCGCGCTCCATTCGAACAAAACTAGTAGTGTTTTTCCTTCTATTATATTGCTGGTGAATTTGCCTATTCAATGTGTTTAGGAGATCTAGCCAAGTCTATCTTCCAGCTTGACGATAAGTTAAAAATTGATGAAGAATATTTTTAGACTCTGTTACAAATGATGTCAACGGCGGCCCTAAATGCAGCAGCGCAGCAAGAAAGCAGTGAACACTCCAGTTGACCCGCCAGTAGAGCAGTTTCAACGATCCAGAATTGTGTTATCCCTGGTCATTTCGTAAAAATCGAAAAAATTCTCGTATTTTGTTTGTTTGAACAACTTTGCCTAGCAGAAGAATGGACACAGGACGAGAGATTTGTTTTCACTGCGGTATGTTGAGCGGAATATGGATATAGTTTTGTGAGGTTTCAAAATGCTTATGAGGTTTCAAATTGCTTTTAGCAAGTTTTAGGAAGAGAAAATTGCAGTTTCAACTAGTTATTGAAAGTGAGGTGGACAGGTGTGTTCTAACACTTGCCGCCAGAGGCAGCAAAGATAAAGATGAATTAAGAAGGTAAGAGTAGTACAGAGCAGAATCAGTTGCGCGGGAAAAGAGAGGGGAGGGGGCATGCGGGGGAAGTGAATGCGATAAATTCAGTGTAGAATCTTTGCTGTGAATACCTTGGATTGATACCTTCTGTGGCCGTCCATTCATAAGCAGCATATTTAGCAAAATGCAGACTTAAAGTTCTTTCAGAAGCAACTGTGATTCTACAGTAAATGTATTATGCTTCCGATTCTGACTTTTCTTACTTTGCAGCATGGTAGTTTCTGTTTCATTTGTGCGTGTGCTATGAACTGTAGTAAATGCATGCCTTCGGGGATTTTTCGTGAGCAGCATGCTTTCAACCAAAATACTTGTCTTAATACTCAGATTAAATGCAAAAGTTTTTTGAACGCTACAATTTTTTAGCAATATTACCGATACTACTAGTACTGCCTCCTTTTTTACAAAAATAAAGTGTGGGAAAAGTTTGCTTTCTGACTTTTCTGACCACTGGCAACGTCCACAGCATATGAGGCATTGCTTCGCCACTGGTGTTTAGAAATGCAGGCTTTGGGTAAAAAAAGCGCGAATATACGCGTGAGGTATTCCACGTCATGTCTCGATTTCTGGATTACAGCAGTGACAAGAATTTGACCTGGCTTCTTGCAATTTCCGTTCGTATGCATTAATAATTAGCTGTCTAATGTTTTCATTTTTTTGGACTGACTATTTCCATGTAATTATTCGTGCCTTTGTAAAATCATACATTTTTTTGCACGGTGTGCGAAATAAGTCGTAACTCGCTAGTCCATTTAGACATCAGTAAATTTCCA